TGTACTATACACACCATACACCACACACACCATGTACTATACACACACCATACACCACACACACACCATACACCGCACACACCCTGAGCTATACACACACCATACACCATACATGCCCTATACTATACACACTGCAAATACCACACACACACCATACACCACACATACCCTGTACTATACACACATCATATACCACACACATACCATACACCATACACACCCTATACTATACACATACCATACAGCACACACATACCATATACCATACACACCCTGTACTATACACACAATACACCACACACATACCATACACCACACACACCCTGTACTATACACATACCATATACCACACACACCTGTATTATATACACACCATACACCACACACACCATGTACTACACACACACCATACAGCACACATACCATGTACTGTACACACCCCATATACCACACACACACCATATACCGCACACATCATACACTATACACACACCATACATCACACACACAAGACATAGCATACACACTCTCCACACACCACATAGCACACACACTATATACACTATACACTGCACACATTCTGTACACCACAGACAGCATACACCCGCACTGTACACTCTACATATACCATACATCACAAACACCATACACCACACACTCACACACCACATACATCATACACCCACACAATACACTATACACCACACACCACACACACACTATACACTATCCATACACCACAAAGCACAAATATACCATACACCACACACATCGTTCACCACGTACATACCCCACACTATACACACACCATACAGCACACACTCACTGTACAGCACACACTGTACATGCACCATATACCATGCACACACCACACTCTATGTATACACCACACTTCACACATGTACCACACTGTTTAGGTTATTTTTTGTTGTTGTTGCTGACACAAAATACCTGACACTCCAAACTAAGGAAGGAAAGGTTTATTTATCTCAGTTTGTAGAGGTTTCAGTCCATAATCAGCTGGCTCAAAGGCAGGGTGGCGTGGCACAGGGGCAACAGTTTAAGGCAGCAGAAGACAGCAAAAGAGCAAGAGCACAAGGGGGGCAGAACAAGCCTCTTTTTTTTTCTCATAGTGCAAGCAGGCTATCCTGCCCCCGAGGGCAGGGGCAGCACTCACACAACTCCGTGTCTTCCTCTTGTACAAGATGAGGATGTTTACAAAGTAAGGACCCTGGCTCCCTGCTGAGTCGCTTAAACTTTTAAACTTCTCAAGCTGACACAGTGTATCAGCCATTGCACACACAACACACACACACACACACTATACACACCAGGTGCAATACACACCATATACCACATACATATCACGTAGCACACATACTACATGCACACCATATACCACACACAGCACACATACTACACACAACATACACACTGTGCATACTACACACCACACAGCACACATAGTGCAAACTATACACAACACACCACACAGCACACACACTGTGCACACCATACACCACACAACACATTCACTATACACACCAGGCAGTGCACACGTAGTGCTACACACCTCACACACTTCATACAAGCACGCATAACAGACACCTGTGCCATACACTTGGGTACATAACCCGGATCGTGCACACCCAACACACACACTCTGTCCCCCTTCTCTCCTTCTTGCACTTCCTCTCCACCTGGCAGTCCCCTGTGTCTGAGACCCCCAGGTCATTTTCACGTGCGGCTCCACTGCCCTGGCCTGGCCTGAACTATCCTGCAGGCTCAGGCCTCCCCACCCGCAGGCCCTGAGGGGGTCTGTCCAGCAGAGCAGGCCTGTCTGAGCCGGGTCACAGCCTGCTGTGTAGACCAAAGAACCCGTCACCAGCCCCTTCCCAGGGGACTTTCCTTTCCTTGTAGACAATGTGCCAGACAGGCAAATCTGGATGCTTCCTGGGGATCTCACAGAGGAATAGTTAGGGATGTGAATATTACAGGGCGTCGGGTAGAGCAGCCTCCTGCCCCGCCCCCTGGGAAGGCAGTGCTGGCCCGGGACCAGCTGTGCCAACGAGATGGGCTGAGCCCTTAGGTGCCGCTTCTCAGAGCCACAGGAAGCTTCGAGCAGATGGACGGCCCGCCTTTTCCCACGCCGAAACCCAGCTTCCTGGACCTCGAGCCCAGTTCCTGGGGCTTCCACACCAGGAGGTGATGACACCTGCCTGATATTTATGATATTTGTGAAGCACCTAGGCTAATACCTGAAAATTATGCACGCATAGTAAATTATGACACCACGCCCATCGTGACAGTGTACAATAGTGAGAACAGGGTGGGGCCGGTCCCCGACTGACCCCTCTGCCCCGCTTCCTCCCCACAAGTTCTTAGCCCACCTGCTCCTGCTCAGTGTTGCCAGCCAGGCCTTGTTTGGCTTTGTCAGAGTTAAAGCCTTTTCACTTTGGTCCAGGTTGTGTTATGGTTGGCAGAAGAACAGCTCCCAGAATTTCCTTACCCTTGTCACCCAAAGCCGTGAATATAGCACCTCATGTGGCAGAGAGGAGTGGAGGCCACCAATGGCAGATGGGAGGGGAGGGGACATCCTGCCTCAGCTGGCCAGTGTGGTCACAGGGTCCTGCAGGGCGATCAAAGCCCTGCCACGAGAGGACTCGACCCCTGCTGTCTGAGGGTGGAGGAGGAGGAATGCAAGATTCTGTAGAGCCACTGGAAGGCACCGGCCTTGAAGACATTTTGCTTCTGGCCCAGCAAGACTTTGTTGGATTTCTGCCTTTAGAACTCTGAGAATGGGACTCCGATGGCACAAGGATGCTCTGCCAATGGCCATTTGTCACAAAAGTAATGACATATGGGTACCGTCAGTCCCAGCGTACAGTGGTTTACTCACAAGTCTGGCTTTACCATGGTGATACTTTCACTCTCAGTGTAGCTTTCAGTCGATCACAAAATAGGCTTTATGTGAGATGACCTTGCCCGGATGTCTGTGCATGTGGAAGGCAGGCTGGGCTGCCGTGATGTTCTGTAGGGAGTGGGATGACACAGTTCCACTTCCTGTGGGTTCAGTCTGGGCTAGTGGCCCCCTCATAAGCTCAGAAACGTGGCACCTGTGTCACTGCCTTGGTCTCATGTCCAGAGCACAGGTGTAGTGTGGTCATTTCCAAGTTGCTGACAGGACAGCAGCTCAGTGGCCCACTTTCTTCAGTCCTCTATGAGATCCCCGTGTGAGCAAATGCTCAGAAAAGGCTGCCATGTGGAAGCTGCCTTGGAGCTCCACTGTGGGGCAGATGACAAGGAACAGGCCAGACACTCCACACTGCAGGTGCGCCAGGAGCAAAGGGTACCAGAAATAGTGAGGATACCAGAAACCCACTCGGACCCTGACCCGGGAAGTGGCTGCAGTTCACACAGCCTGCACGTGCTCCAGAGGGCAGGGCCACTGACTGACGAAGTCCAGTGGTCGCCACTTGGGAGCAGCGGCCCTGCTGCTCTGCGTGTCCAAGGAAGGGAGCACCAGTTCTTTTCCTGCAGTGAGGAAAGAGTCCAGTCTTGGAGCCATGTGGACAGGAGCAGTAAATGCCCATCTTGTAGGAATTCACGACATGTCCATGTGGGCTCCTCAGTCACTGAATTGCTCAGAAACACCAAATTATTTCCTTCTAACAAATTACATTTTTAAAGCTGCTTGTCTGTTTCACATCTGGCAGTCAAGGCAGAAGCCAAAGCTGGTGTTAAGCATCTGGGAAGCACTCATCCTTTGCTGCTTTTCCCTGGGAAGGGAGGAGGAGGAGGTGAAAATGTGGGAAGCCAGTGGTCAGACACGGTGCAGACAGAGTGGCCTGTGTCTGGCTAAGTGACTTCACAGACAGCTGGCTGCAGCCCTTGCAGAAATGCTGGCTGCAAGGGGCTGGGGGCACCCGTTTCTGTCCTCTACACTCCCAGAGCTGGTGCTGTGCTTGTGGCCATGGACGGCCATGGGAACTGGGCCAGCACGTGCAGCCGTACTTAGGCCTTAGAGATGGTCGATGGTCTTGCTGCCTCTGGATGGGAGCACACACCTGCCTCCTCCTTGCTGGCACTGCCTGAGGAGTAGGCTGCGATCCAGCTGTGAGGTCCCTGGTTCTCCTCTGCCTCTTCTGCTCCAAGGCCACGGCTTCTCAGGTCAAGCTAGACTGGCAGGCAGTGCCACACACCCGTCTCCAGGAGCAGTTGGGCTCCCAAGGGATGAAGACCTCTTTCTAGGGCATGAACTTAGCACCTGTGTTCTCAGGTATCCACTGCAAACGTTTGCTCCTAGAGGTTGTCAGAATCCACGTTCTCAGCCCGTTCCTTCAGATTTCTTCACTAGATCCAGAGATCTATCCCGGGGCTGCTGACGGCCGTGGACCACATGAGAGGGGCTGACCTAGGGTCTGTTACATTTTATACTGTCCTGGTTTCCCTAAAGACAGAGGCTGCACGTGCCTGGACAGTTTGCAGTGGGGCAGAATTCAGTGTAAATTGAACCCTGCTCCCGCCATAGCGGCAGGGAGGGTGGGGACCAGGAGAACCGGAGGTGCTCTGGTCCTGATGTTTTCATCCAGGCTTCTCACTGGAATGGCTTTGGGGTTGGACCACCCACAGAGGAGGGAAGCACGCTGCCCAGGTGCAGCTGGGATGCAGCGACCTCTCTTGGCCACTCAGCTCACCCAGACAGTCACCGGGACAGGGACTTCCAGGAGCTCCTGTCTTGGCCCCGGGTGAGGCCAGCAGAGAACCAGACACCCCGTGGGCCTGGAGGGTGGGATGATATTGTCAGGGCTGCAGCTGAGTGCTTCTCTGGCCTGCCGGGTGCAGACTCTGAGCCTCGGGTCCTCAGCAGGGTGCTGGCAAGAGGACTGGACCTCAGTTTCCCACCAGGAGTACCTGCTCCACCCTGAGGGGCCTTGGTCTGCAGCGTCTGAGCTTCCAGCCCCCGGCACTCTTCGGGTGCTGCCTGGCAGAGGCCATGCTTTGAAGGCCACTGCCTCAGTTTCTACTTTGTGTCCTGTTGGTCTGAAAATGGGGGCCTAAGGTGGCCTTGGAGGCTGCAGGGGCTAAGGTCTCAGGGAAAGAAGAGGAGGGAAAGTCGGGCCTTTGCATGTTGGTGCTGTACCCTCAGCCAGGGGTGTTGCAAAGGCACCATCTTGTGGCTTTGGACACATGAGAAACAGCCTGGTGGACCAACACTGTCTCCAAAATGCCTCACCTTGGTCAAGGCCCCCACCCAGAGGTGGTTGTGCAGGTAAGGACTTGGTGTTCAGAGATGCTGACGCCCTGACAGGTACCAACATGACCCAAAGTCCACAGCCAGGATGATGACTGAGGACATGGGGGTGCCCCGAGCCCCCTGCCTGGGCACAGTCTGCAGTGGGTTGGGTGGGAGTCAGGGGAGGCTGTGGGGCTGCATCACAGCCCCACCTGACACCTGTGTTTGAAAGGATACCATAGGGGAGTTTCCTTCTAATGTATTAATTAAAAAGTGAAAAAATTAAAAGAGGATACGAGGGCCGGGGATATAGCTCAGTGGCATAAGCGCCTGCCTGGCAAGCACAAGCTCCTGAGTTCGATTCCCGGTACCAAAAAAAAAGATGATACGAGTTGTATAAAGTGAGGACCGCAGGCCCAGGCACAGGATTTGCCCGAAGGAGAATGAGGAAGACCTAGGGCTCATACTGTGCTCTGTCCCCAGGTACCGCGTGGTGGTCTCCTACCCACCCCAGAGTGAGGCGGAGATCGAACTGAGGGAGGGCGACGTGGTCTTCGTGCACCGCAAGCGTGAGGACGGCTGGTACGAGGGGACCCTGCAGCGAAACGGACGCACAGGGCTCTTTCCGGGCAGCTTCGTGGAGAGCTTCTGAGTTGGCCAGGCACCCAGCAGGGATGGCTGGACAGCAAGACTGAGTATGGGGGAGTATGGGGTCGCGCCTTCTCCACGATGACCTTGCCCTCCAACAGCAGAAGGGAGAAGCTGCGGGGAAGCTGGCAGTGTCGCCATCGCCGTGCCCGGGGCACTGGGAGCCACAGGAAGCCGCAGGTGCGGCTTTGTGGGGCAGAGCACCTGCGGGTCCTTCTTGGCCGTCCCGTCTGCATACCTCAGCCGCCTGCCATCCAGCCACACAGAGCTACACCCTGCCCTGCCACAGGTGGCACCCTGCTTCGCCACCATCATCCGTGCTGCCTCTTTTTTAGGCCACCTTTTAATGTGCAGCGTTGACTTCGTCTGTTTTCATGGGTCAGACATCCTCTACTTCACACATCTGGTGCTGCCTTTTGTAAAACTCATAATGACCTGGCTGAGCTTGAAAGAAAATATGTCCAAGGTGACATCTCAGGCAGGTTTTGTATTCACCATCTGTCTTGAGCATTTGGACACCCAGCCTCAACATCAGATGAGGCCAGTGCTCCGTAGCTGAACGGTGGGCAGGCCGGGTGCAGAGGGGCTGGAGAGAGCAGGAGTTGCTCTCTACACCCGCGTCAGAACCCAGCTCGGACGCGACGAGTGTTATTCAGGAGCAAGGACCGAGTGCGCGGGCTCCTCTGACTGTCCTTCTGCTGGCGATGGGGGTAGCACAGGGGTTGACCCAGCCCAGGATGGCAGGAGCACCCTTTTACTCCCCAGAGAGAATGACTGTCATTGGCCTTCTCAAAACGTGGGTTCTTGCCTTCAAAATGTGCAGTTTTCACCACAGTTGAGATCACCACCTTGAAAAGATTTTTTTCTTCTTTTTAAGAAATAAATTACTGCTCCCTTATCTGCCGTGCCCAGCTTTCTGTGCTCAGTGAGGACAGGTGGCTGCAGACCTGCAGGCTGGGGTTGGGGGGATGCCCAGGGGGTGGGTGCTGCCACCAGCATTGCCTTGTTGTGAGGCTGTTTTGTTTTCAGTCACACCTCAGGAACCCACTCTGCCTCCCAGAGCAGCCGCCTGTGTCCTCTCTGTGTATCTTCTGCTGGGCTGAATACTGAGCCCTGAGGTCCCTGGTGTGGGGCGTGGCCCGTCCCAGCGGCGTGCACTCTCCCTGTGGAAGGCCTTGGCGAGTGCTTGTCGTTCCCCATGCTCCCGTGGCTGTCCCTGGCCGCTGCACTGGGGAATCGCCCCACAGAACATGCTTTGCCCCTCAGTAACACTACACCTAAAGGAAGTGGGAAATGTGTTCTGAATCCAAAAGGAGAACATCTGGTTTAAACAGGGAGCGCTGGTGCTGGGTGAGCAACCACCAGGGGAATCCAGGCGCTGTTATTGCCCAGTCAGTTCCCACCATGCATAAGAAGTCCCGTGCCTGCTGCCCAAAAGCTCCTGGGCTAACACCGTTGGCGAGGCCCAGGTCCTCCCATGGAAACCACAACAAGCCTGAGTGTCCAGATAATAAAATAATTTCCTTCTTGAAATGAGGGCAACTACCAAGCAACAGAATAGACCAGCTCAGGCCTGGCTCCCACAGGGTCCCTGGGGGTCAATGGCAGAGAGCAGGGGCTGCAAATACTCTGACAGGGGACACGGGTCCCAGGTGTTTCCTGAGGTGCCCAGCAGGGGTACTGGGACCACCTCAGGGAAGGAAGCAGTGCCGTAGGCCTGGGCAGCACCAAGGTGAGCTGGTGGGTGGGACCCTGGGGCAGTTGGGGCTGCCCTGCACACCAAGTACCTCCCTGCCTACGCGCACCTGGGACCTGGGCTCCATGAGGGTGGGTCCACAGGCAAGAGCAGAGCAGAGCTGTCAGTGTGTCCCACACACAAGTCAGTGTGTCCCACACACATGGTTTGCTGTCAGGAGGAAGCAGCACCTGTCTGACCCCATCTCCTGTCCTGGCTGCGATGGGCACTCAGCTCTGCAGTGGCATGTGGTGGCCAAGGTGACTTGCGTTGAGGCACATAGCACTCTGCAGCCGTGACAAAGTGAGTTCCATGGCACCAGGAGACAGGACTGAGGGCAGAGGGAGGCAGAGGAGACAGGGAAGGAGGTTTAAAGCTGGGCATCAGACCCAGCCCAGCCGATACCCACAGAGTTCAGATGCCCCCAGCACTCCTGCTCTACCCTGATGTCAGCCCATGGCTTTGGAAGAGCTGTCACTGGCAACAAACCATGATGCCTGGGTCTCTGGCTTTAAATAAAGATGATAGTGGCTTTTCTGTGTCTGGGTGGTGGGCAGGGCGGAGAGGCCTAGCTAGGAGCACATGGGGCCCAAGCTCCCCCACCCCCACTCTTGAGGGCTGGATCTGTGTGTACCTGCTGTGGCCAGCAATGAGGCCAAACCCTGGGGTACCTGGAGGTCACTGGCTGGGCAGTGTGACCAAGCACAAAGCCAGCTGGTGGAGAGTGGGGGGTCCTCCAGGCCCTCTGAGGTCCATGTGGCTGAAAATGTAGGGGGCTTTCTAAGCTTCCCCTCTCACAGTCCCTGCTGACCAGAGGGACCTGGGTGCCCTCAGGTGCCTGAGTTGTACAGTTTAGAGCCTGGAGTGGGATCTCTGGGGGGACAGCTCCCTCTGTCGACAGCTCAGGGAAGCGACTGAGGGTGGGGACCCTGTGTAAGTTGCAGACTACAGCAGACCTTGACGTCTGTCAAGGGTAGCAGCCAGGACATGGGGAGATCCCGGGCCTTGGTGGCCCTGCTGGAGGCCAAGCTCTCCCACCCGCCACCCTGGGCTCTAACGTGTACTCCCCTGGCCTGCAAGCTGCACGCTGCCCCTTGGGTTCTGGCCAGGGATTCTTGTGCACACAGCTTCTGTGCAATGACCACCCTGCTGTGAGCCACAGCTGCCCACATGGTGACCAGGGCTGGACTCCTATACTGCACCAGCAGCCCCTGGGTGGCTGTCCTGTGCACAGGTGGTGACCACAGAGTGAGGCCCCTGAGGGCAGGTGGCGGACAAGCCAGGAGCACAGCAGGGAAGCTGCAGAGAGTGGGGACTAGGGTGTGGGCAGGAGAAGCCTGTCCTTCCTGGGCCAGGGCAGCATGCACGTGGCCAGCACTCCCCTGTGCTCCACCTGTTCCCAGGGCTCCACAAGTGCCCTCTCTGTCCTCAGCCTTTCAAGACAGGCACCCGACAAGGGGACTGAGGAAGGCAGCGAGCCAATTCACCCTGGAGAGTGGCTGAAGGGTGGAGCAGAAGGGTGGAGCAGAGGGTCAGCCCTCCCTCTCCCTGGGCTGCCCCAGTGGGCAAACCCACCTCTGGCCTGGGCCCCACTCCTGCCCCAGCCCCAAGCATGGCCTTTGCCCCTTGGGTCTGAAATCTGCCCATCGCTGCAGACAAAAAGCTGGCCTTAGCCTCCAGCTCCCAGTGAGCCAGGGTCAGCACCATGTGTCCAGGAGCCCATGCACCAACCCTCCGGCCCTGTCCTGCTCCTCTGAGCGTGGCTGTAGCTCCCAGCCACCCCCAGGGCTGATCCACCTTCCTCCTGCAGCCCGGTGGGTGCCATGCCCGCTCCAGCCTTCATCTTACAGTACGGCCACCGTCCTTTCTGCCAGTCCCTACCTTGGACCCCTGCTGGCTTCAGGGCTGTGTGGCACTGGTCACCACTTCCTCCTCCTCCCTATAGTGCCTGCTGCCTGATCCTCACTGTGTCTCTGCCTCTGTGCAGTGTGTCACTTGAGATCCCCTGGCATGGCCACACACCCACATCACACACTACACTCCTGGCACACCTGCATAGACCCACAGGAGGCTGCAGCGAGGCAGGCACAGAAGGGACCCTGGAGGCCGTGGGCTGTGGTCCAGACCCAGCCTGTGGCACAAAGGGTAGTGGGTGTTCCCAGCTATCCCTGAGACCCTCCTGCCCATGGCTCCCTTGCCTCCCCTGTCCCACCTGGAGCAGAGCTACAGCATTTCACAGTGGCAGTATGTGGCTTCAGACCCCTCTGGAGAGTTCTCTCCCTTATTTTGCACTGTCACTGAAAGTCTACTGGCTCTGGGAATGTTCCGTGAAGTTTCACCATGCTGTGTGACCCCCATAGCATCTCTTTCTGTGGGTCACATGGCACTCCTCCCCACCCCATCACACACATTGTCTCCCCACACCCTTGATTCCCAGAGTGCACTGCGCCATCTCTGCTCACTTCTTGTACCTGGTGCCCTGCCCTATGGTCTGAACATGAGCCCAGGGATGACCTTCAACCCAGAAGTCCCCCGTAGCTTGCAGGCCTGAAGCCTCTGCTCGCTGGGCACTGAGCTGGTTGCACTTGCAGGGTCTGGAACTATCTGTGTTGGGCCAAGAGGCAGGTGGTGTGTGGTCAGAGGCAGGGGGAGATCTCCAAGCTTCAAGAAACAGTGGTTAAAGGAAACAAGGCCAATGACTGTGAATGTAATGTGACCTGAAACTCCAGACGGAGGAGCCATGGTGGGACTGAGAGGGAAACTAACTGCCACAAAGGACAGAGCCGGCGGGTTCTCAGGAGACCTCACCCCACCTTGCCCCCTAGGGCCCCTGGTCTCAGCCTAGTGAGCTGCAGCATGGCCTCTGGAGCTTGCAGTTCAGTCCCCAGGTGTCCCTGGCTGAGGGACGAGAAGGACCCGCACTGAGCCTACCCCTCCCCAAGGCTAGCTGCTGTCCAGCCCTGCTGTCAGTGTCCCTGTTCACTTCCATGCCTACCGCCCTCCTTAGGAGGGGACCTTTTGCTGCCAGGAGCCTCATATGTGCTCAGTAAAGCTAGGTGAACTCAGTGATCACCCTTGAGTCAACCTGGAGGATCTGAGCCCTGCTGGAGGCTGCTCCTCCAGGAAGTGCTCTGCATTAGGTATGTGGTGGGTATGGGAGTCTCAGGAGACAGAAAGCTATGAGCCTCTGGGAGCCTCAATTTCTCACACTCAAGATTCTCCACCCAACCACAGGTCACATCAGGAATCACCTGGGAAGTGTCCAGGTTTTTCTACAGGCCCTGCCTGAGCCTAAGCCAGTCTGGACTCCCAAGGGGCAACAGAAACCAGCAGTGCCCAGGGCTCTGAGAAGCCAGAACAGCCCCACCCACATGGGTCGGACAACTGAAGCCTTGCATCCCGCATGGAGGCACAGCTCTTCAAGGTTTCATGCCGCTGTGCTCAGCAGTGGGCCGTGGTGTGAAGGCCTTAGCAGCTGGGAAGAAGGCCGCAGGGGGAAGCAGAAGGCCTTGCGAAGCTCTCAGCTGGACCAGTCTTGGCTGTTAGGAGATTCAGTGTTCATAGTCTTCGTAGGCTTCGTCAGTAGTTTCTTTTATTAACCCAACATTTAAAGAACATTTCCATCAAAAATTTAAGCATTACTGGGTAAAGTCCTGCCACTGACAGTGACACTGTTCTGTCACTGAGGTCAGTCTTCCTCGTTCCAGAGACCTGGCTTCTGTCACTCCTGCAGCAACAGGTCTAGAAAGAGGTGCATATGTCCTGAGCTGATTCTGGGCCCCTGCGATCAGCGTAGGGAGCAGAAGCGTGAGCGACTTGGATTTGCACAGGGTCACCCTCCTCCTTCCAGGGATGCTCAGATAGCAAGCTTTTTGGAGACCAGAACACTGGGTCCCAGGTAAGAGAGGCAGGAGCAGCAGCAGAGTGGAGCAGACTCTGAAAGAGTTGGTGCTATCCTCGACCCTAGGGCAGGCTCAGTGCATGAGAATGAGGGAGAGTAGGCCCTCTTCTGAAGAACTGCACGTGGACACAGAGCTGTGCACATTTGAGTCCATTTATGATAGCAGAGGCCCCATTGGGAGTGGGTGCTCGAAGGCACTAACTCAGATCCACTCAGGAAGGAGCAGAAGCGTAGCTTCTTGCCGCCTGCTCAC